AGTCATTCACCCACAATTACCTAAAGATGGAAGAACATTAATAGGTACACCAAAGTGTGTTTCCACTACAAAAATTGGTTGTGGAGAGTATTACCACTTTGGCTTGGCAGAGGGATTGCTGTCTAGACTAAGATCATTGCTACTGCCAGTTAATCTTAACACTATTAAATTACAGTTTAACATAGATGACCTTCCTCTATTTTAGAGCTCCAAACTCCAAATCTGGCCCATTCTTGGACTTGTTGATTGTGATTACACAAAATCCCCATTTGCTATTGGAATATTTTGTGGCAACAGCAAACCTAAAAGTGTCTTTGAATACCTTGAGGCATTTGTTCATGATTTAAAATTTATACTGACCAATGGTGTTGTTTTTAGTGGCAGAAGACTGAAGGTGCAAGTTTCTTCTTTTGTTTGTGATGCTCTAGCTCGTGCATTTGTTAAACATGTTAAGGCTCACAATGGTTACTTTGGCTGTGATAAATGTCACCAGGAGGGTGACTGGAAAGGAAAAATGACATACCCCCTCACAAATGTGAAACTTAGAACAGACTCAGATTTTGTTATGATGGTTGATGAAGAACATCACTTGGATCAGAAGCCAAGCCCCTTGGCAGGATTGGTGAAAATGGTTTCTATGTTCCCCATTGACTACATGCACCTTTGTTGTCTTGGGGTTACAAGAAAATTGCTGTGCTTCTGGTTAAAAGGTGTGGTACCCCAGCCACAGGATACCCACACTACTCTGACTACGCCACCTCCTAATAAGGGCAGGAGAAACCCCTACTGTTCATGCCTGTAATGTGGCTAGGTTTGAACCCTCCCCGCAAAGGGACAATAACAAAGAGGCATATGAAATTAAAACCCAATCCACTTTATTACACATAACTAAAATCCATTAAACAAATAAAAACGCTGCTAGGGGTGGCCAGCTGACTCTCCTCCAGATAATAAGGTCAGATCAGCACGCGCAGCTCTCAGCTCAGGAAGCCTGGTGACAAGAGACAAAACCCAACACCACACAACATACAACACAACAAGCACTACACACAACAAATACCACTGCAATATGCGGCTCAACGTGAGACTTCAGACATCCACTAATACAGTGCCCCCTCAGTGTGGCGCCCAACAGCGAAGAGCAAAAGCCCGTGCGGATCTGGCCTTGTACAGACAGATCTTATGTACAAACACAGGGGGAGGGGAGCAACCGGTATCCACCACCCAATATACAATGCTGCGTTACTACCTTACAACTTGGCTCATAGCAGCAACCAGGGCAACTAATAAAAGAAACCCAAACAAAAACCCTGTTCAATAACCATAAAACAGTGGCTGGTCTGGTCCTTTGCAGGAATGCTTAATGCCCTCGCAGCACAGTAGGACCAAGAAGACGTGTTCCAATGCAGAGCCTCAATGTCCGTAGCCCAGCAGCTCGTTGGAGATCACTTGAAATGAAATTCCAAACAGTCACCTCTGTGTCCTCTATGAAGAGTTACACGCTGCTAGCAATCACCCCCATGTCCAGTGGTAACACAGCAGCAAGAGGATGAAATTCCACCTTGGCAGCCTTTTATAAGTTCCTGGTAGATCACATGATCTGGCTCATGTGGTTACCAATATGGTGTAATTACCAGTGCTATGTGACTACTCCTGCCAGTCCCTTCAGATCCCCACAAAGGTAAAAGGTTGGCTACTATAGGCTTTCCTCCCATACTGTGGATGAAATTTCTAAGCATCTACATGATCTCAGGCCCCATACACCTATTGAATTTAATCGCAAACCAAGAGGTCTAACAGAGATTGATCGTTGGAAGGCAACAGAGTTACGTTCCTTTATGTTGTATTCTGGCCCTGTTGTTCTTAAGGAACGCCTTCCAAGTGAATTGTATGACAATTTCATGCTTTTCCATGTTGGCATGTTTTTGCTTTTGTCTCCAGGCTTTTCTGATGATATGATTGCATTTGCTCACACGGTGCTTGTCTCCTTTGTTACTCATTTTGGGAAGTTATATGGAAGTGAGGAAATTGTGTAT